GATTTTGCAAGGATTGTCAGTGAGATAATGAATTAATCATGTGCATAACACTCCCACCGTTCAACACGTGTGATCATGGTAATTACAGTATTTGTTAAAATTTCTTTATTATTTATTTGCCCACTACAAATTAGTATACTGATTACATAATAGGATTATATAACTGCACTACGGGCTACTAGCCTTCAAAAACCTTTTCAGACTTTTATTAAAAGATCCGTATAGTATAACTATATAAATATATAACCAGAATTTCTTGTGCAGCAATATAGTATACTCAAAGATATCAGTGTTTTTCCTAAAAGGATATATGTTGTGGCAACCTTTTGAGGTAAAAAGTACATTATCTATTCTGCTCATGAGTATCTTTGTGATATCGAGCACTTTTTAGCATTTCGTGAACCAAAACATGCACACACTCGTATATATTTACTTCTAAAGATTATCTATATATACCGAAAATTATAATGATACATAGTTTAGTGCAACTGCATGCTGCATATGATAATTACAACTATTAGTTACGATCATTAAATCCAAACAATGGACTAATTCAGCTAAGGGCTGTGTATAATGCAAATGATTGATACAGTTTTCCGAGACAATAGTGAAATTTGCGGCCATAGCTTGAACACAGACAAAAAGAAGTTACATTTACTTTGTACTTTCAGGTATTTTTATTTCTCAAGATATGTGACAATATGGATGGGTGTGAATGTGCCATCTGCTAATTCAACTTAGCGAATGTAGGCCGTTGAAAAACTTGAGCACATATAGCTGTATGAGACAAATAGAAATTAGACGATCGTAATTTATCATTATGGACAATCCGCCATCAGGAGTTTTGGGGTACTGTCGAATCGAACCTGCGGCCCTGTGATGCCAATATAAGGTGTACGGGTGAACATCAGGATTTTAGGCACTACACTCGATCTATCTTGTACAAGGGTTTTGTACATGGAAATTTTCGAGTGTGAATTTTGTGAACTATAAGGCAGCAGTGCAATTAAAACTTTCATTTAGGTATTTTTACTTTAATTCTACAAATAATTTTCCTTTGTCTAAGGCCCAGTGGGAGAGCTATAGACGTTAGCGTGTAAACAAACCAATTTTCATATATAATTAATTTACAAGGTGTTCCTCATTTATCCAAGACCAAGTTAAATTTGTCTTCAGACTTTAACCAATTCGGTGCTCCTATATACGTGTGTGAAAGCCATGCATTCCACTTCGTCTTTGCTCAAGTTGATTTTGAAAATTTGTCAAGTGCAACGAAAGACATGCACCTTTATTGTGTATAGTTATATATAAGAACAATGAAATTTCCAATTACATTGTCGGAAAACTAAGGAGCGAGCCTTTGTTGAAATCATAGGCTCTCTTTGACAGATTATGATGACTTGGTGCTTTCATGTTGGCGAGTTAATGTGAGTTTAGGCGATTTAAGAGAATCTCGGTCCAGTAGAAGCTGCGGCATTAGTGTGTAAACGTCATTGTACCTTGAATAAATTTGTTGATTGATTGATATAGTTCAACTGCATTTATCCCGCAGAACATGCATCATTTGGACGCGCAGTGGAAACTCCGCTTATAATGTACCATCACAGATTAAGTATGACCAGATGTGTAACTTAATAGGACTTCGTGTCCTCAAATTTTCCTAGATGCATGTACACGTCATGCTCACGCCATGTCACTTGCAAGCAAAATGGCGTCCTGGAAAACACGGAAGAGGTTATTTTCGCTGGCCTACTCCAAGTTTGTTTCTAAACCAATCTTGAAGTTTTGACGAAATGTCATTCGGAGGTCGGCGAACCTAACCTTTCCCGAAAAACACGAACTTTTGCACTTTAATGCGGACTTTTTGGATCGAAATTTTTGGATTAAAGTGATCAATGTTGAAACTTGAATGTTTAAAGTTGTTGAAAGTAATTAAAGTTGTAGAAAAAAGGTGTTGAAAGCATTTATGAAAGTAATGACGTATTACCAAATGACAAATTATCACGGGAGCGCCACTTGCTAGGAAGATGGCGACCGTGGGACAACTTTTTTTTCTGAAATTACACATCTGGTCCATACTTAATCTGTGGTGCCATGCATGAAGTATGATGATGATGTTATGAACGCATCCTTACTAGATTAGAGATGGGGAGTCAACCAAAAAGTACTAAATTATAAATGAGCAAATGTAACACGAAATAAAGAGGGTTTTTTAACCTCAAGTTGTGTGAAGCTCGTTGCACACAGACTTATTTATCTTCTGTGCAAGCAGCAATTCTCTAATACTGATTTTGCAAGGATTGTCAGTGAGATAATGAATTAATCATGCGCATAACACTCCCACCGTTCAACACGTGTGATCATGGTAATTACAGTATTTGTTAAAATTTCTTTATTATTTATTTGCCCACTACAAATTAGTATACTGATTACATAATAGGATTATATAACTGCACTACGGGCTACTAGCCTTCAAAAACCTTTTCAGACTTTTATTAAAAGATCCGTATAGTATAACTATATAAATATATAACCAGAATTTCTTGTGCAGCAATATAGTATACTCAAAGATATCAGTGTTTTTCCTAAAAGGATATATGTTGTGGCAACCTTTTGAGGTAAAAAGTACATTATCTATTCTGCTCATGAGTATCTTTGTGATATCGAGCACTTTTTAGCATTTCGTGAACCAAAACATGCACACACTCGTATATATTTACTTCTAAAGATTATCTATATATACCGAAAATTATAATGATACATAGTTTAGTGCAACTGCATGCTGCATATGATAATTACAACTATTAGTTACGATCATTAAATCCAAACAATGGACTAATTCAGCTAAGGGCTGTGTATAATGCAAATGATTGATACAGTTTTCCGAGACAATAGTGAAATTTGCGGCCATAGCTTGAACACAGACAAAAAGAAGTTACATTTACTTTGTACTTTCAGGTATTTTTATTTCTCAAGATATGTGACAATATGGATGGGTGTGAATGTGCCATCTGCTAATTCAACTTAGCGAATGTAGGCCGTTGAAAAACTTGAGCACATATAGCTGTATGAGACAAATAGAAATTAGACGATCGTAATTTATCATTATGGACAATCCGCCATCAGGAGTTTTGGGGTACTGTCGAATCGAACCTGCGGCCCTGTGATGCCAATATAAGGTGTACGGGTGAACATCAGGATTTTAGGCACTACACTCGATCTATCTTGTAGAAGGGTTTTGTACATGGAAATTTTCGAGTGTGAATTTTGTGAACTATAAGGCAGCAGTGCAATTAAAACTTTCATTTAGGTATTTTTACTTTAATTCTACAAATAATTTTCCTTTGTCTAAGGCCCAGTGGGAGAGCTATAGACGTTAGCGTGTAAACAAACCAATTTTCATATATAATTAATTTACAAGGTGTTCCTCATTTATCCAAGACCAAGTTAAATTTGTCTTCAGACTTTAACCAATTCGGTGCTCCTATATACGTGTGTGAAAGCCATGCATTCCACTTCGTCTTTGCTCAAGTTGATTTTGAAAATTTGTCAAGTGCAACGAAAGACATGCACCTTTATTGTGTATAGTTATATATAAGAACAATGAAATTTCCAATTACATTGTCGGAAAACTAAGGAGCGAGCCTTTGTTGAAATCATAGGCTCTCTTTGACAGATTATGATGACTTGGTGCTTTCATGTTGGCGAGTTAATGTGAGTTTAGGCGATTTAAGAGAATCTCGGTCCAGTAGAAGCTGCGATTTAGGCAGTTTAAGGCGAGTTGCCACCCCAGAATAGGTCGATGAAATTTGACCTCAAACTTTTGTTTCTTACAGCTGATGATGCAACTGGTGATTGCAAGAGAAAGAGGACGAGAACAATTTTCACTCCACAACAACTGGAAATATTGGAGAAAGAATTCGAACGACAACAATATATAGTTGGTCCTGAACGACAGTATTTGGCCGTCTCTCTAAACTTGACGGAAAATCAAGTGAAAATCTGGTTTCAAAATCGCAGAATTAAATACAGAAAAGAAAACTATTAGAAAAACATTATTAGTATGATTATAAAAAGACAATTTATGTAAATATCGAAAGGTTTCATAACCCCAGAATTAGATATAGAAAAGAATTAGAACACTGTAAAAGCAAATTGGTTTAAAACAACTCATAAATTAGCCTTTCTCGATCACGATGACGAATATCCGCCATTTTTGGGTGGCATCCAATTCTCGTTAACCAATGTAGAAATCAAAAATAAACTAACCATTTACGAAGCAAATTTACCATCATTTGTCCAAAAAATTATAAAAAGTCGCCGTTATGTGGACTTATCTCGCAGACTTCGGCTGACTGAATGCCACCCAAAAATGGCGGCGTGAGAAAGGCTAATTGCGTGTTATCTCGGACTCAAAATAAATCTGACAAACAACTTGTTTGGTTCCTTTAACCAGTTTGTTTTTGCAGCTAGTGGGCATTAGAGAGTATTAATATTATATGCAATATATATATACTATATAGTAGTTATGCAAAAAATAAAGAAACTTTTTTTAGTTAAACAAAGCTTTTTAAACTTTTTAAGTGTTTACTTAGATAAGTGTTTGTCCCACTGAGAGCACAAGTGCTCACTCCTAATGCAAAAAATAAAGAAACTTTTTTTTAGTTAAACAAAGCTTTTTAAACTTTTTAAGTGTTTACTTAGATAAGTGTTTGTCCCACTGAGAGCACAAGTGCTCATCTAGGAGACTCATGCACACTAGGAATATTTACAATCAACAGTAGTGTGCACTGTCAGTTTTTTGTTTTTTTAAAAAAACGGAACACAAAAACAACTAGAGGGCATCCGTGAGAACTACTTCCGCCAACGAATTAAGTTATGTATCATGCATACATTATACAATTAGCTAATTACGCATAATTAAGACAAACTTTGTCTTTTTATATATGTAAAGTCTTGCAGCTGAATATTGTCAGTATTGAAGATGGCATAAGATAACATGCATGTTTACGAGCGAAAACTCGAGCCCAAAAAGTGAAGCTAAAAATGGAGCTATTGTACGGTATTGGGCATGAGTTTCAGTCCGTTTCCATTCTTTTTGTCTGCGCAGTCTGCAAGGAGTCATGTGCCGAATATATAATACCATGGTCTTATAAACAGATAACTGGATTAGCGATACAGTCCGTTAGAAAAAACTGGTATGTTACGATCTTCAGAGCTATATTGGACGTCGCTTCACTTTTCTCATAGGCCGAATGACTAAGTTCTTGCTCCAGAAATATATAGAGCTCACTGTGTCTCTCCTTTCAGATTAATATACTGACAAGCCTCTCATATCTATGCAAGCCTCTGCGGAGGAGAGTGCTTTTGGATAATATTATGGAGATTTTGCCGACAGTCGGATTATCTCTTCAACGAAGATTAGGAGAATGTTATTTTCTGTGGATGCAGACTGTCTGGCTG